GTACTATTTCAGTTTTCTAATTTGTGATTTCAACGCAAATGAGAGTTTATATTTAAAACTGATATAAGGCCCATTTACCTGATGAGTTGCCGAGGATGGATCGCCCTTATTTCGTCTTTATTTCTGGTTATATACTCAATGGTTGCATCACTAATGAATGTCATCGTTTCAACTGTACAACATTCATGGTCGTATTCTAGAACTCTACTCAATGCTCAAGTCAGGATTGCAATGGAAACACAAACACAGGAAATACGACCCTAATGGCAGGTACTTGAGTATGATTTCGAGTGCTTTAAGCCATACTCAAATCCTGACTTGAGCATTGAGTAGAGTTCTAGAATACGACCCTGAATGTTGTACCCTCAGTGTGTTTATTTTTTTGCCAGAGATAAAACATTAGTAGAGAATGAGCTAAAAAAGACGCAGCTGAAGCTTTCGTCGCTGCGCAGCGACGGGCTGACCAAGGCTCAAGTGGCAGAGAAGTTATTAGAGGTGGAACGCAAGTACCGCAAGACTGCAGACTCGCTTAAGAAAGTCAAAGAGCTTATTGCTGATGTGAGTATGGCTGCCTAGTGTAATTTGCCATATCAATTACCCGGTTGTCCAACAATGGGCTGGCTGATTATTAATTTTACAGGAAGACGGCGCACTCGATAGGATACGTTTTACTAGGAGCTTTACTAGGTCGATTTTCTCACTCGTTCCCTGCTACGTATTCTAACCCACTATCTAGTTCTAACATAGCAGGATAGGTGACGCTGATCTCCATGGAATAGTTAATAGTTATTTTTCTTGCCGTGTGTCGCTGGCATATACGACTTATGTAGCTGTCATTAAACACATTACAACAAAAACAATAGACATCGATTTGGCATTTTTTCTTCTCATCTCGACTTCATCCGAAAGAATCCAATCCTCGATAAAACACCGGTCTTAAACTGGAAAATTCTAAACTACATTTTTATGTGGTATTATAAGACTGACAAGATGAACAAGTCGTGCGCCTGGTGGTAAGCGACACGCCTGTCCCTATAAGTTGCAGTGCCACTCAGAGCTTTAAATCGCAAAGATCTGAGGGGCACTGCCGCTGCATCTGTCACCCTGAGACATAAATTGACAAGTCTCATGTAATTTCATAAAATAAAATAATAATAAAATGCCTGTAATTTCACCAGCACCCTTACCCTTCTAAACCGGAACACAGTAACAAATAATTAAATTATTAAAAAAAACAGACAACTTATTTTGAAAGTCGAAAGTTATATTTTCGTACACATATTTACTATAAATAAATTTTGTGTGTAATGTATTTATTATGTTTTTTTCTAGATCAAAAAGGTATCCGAGAAACACTTGAGGTTTTGCATTCAAGTGCAGACTCATATTTCGAGGAGAATTCAAGTCTACTTCCAAGACATTCTCACTGTACGCGGATACTCTGTAAGTGTTAGTTCTATACTAGTTATAATTTGTTACGAACGACGACAAATATCGGTATGATCATATATGTATAGATACAGGCTTACTTTGCGCTACCGATCTTAAAAAAGTTTTGTGGAATGTCATATTTGCCAAGTTTCATTGAAACGGAAAGCATTCAATAAATCGATTTCATCCCCTAATTTGCCACCCTTAGAGATGGAATATTTTCTTCAAATTTGGATGGGAGCACTACTAAAACACTCCCTTTCCAACAAAAAATCCGAAATCGGTACAGAAATGTCGTAGTAATTGCGTACCAAACAATAGAGAGCGTAGTCAAGTTCTAATTCTGCGAAAAAAACTGTACTTTCAAATGTTTAGTTTATCCGAAAGAAGTACTAACTCACCAAAAATACATATTTTTCTATAAACAGGATTTTACCACTAGTTCTAGTCGCAAACCTAGATTATGGGATCTTACCGTGCGAAAGAAATCTGCTGTGTATTCTATACAAAGTAGCGACTTACTATAAAAATCTGCGAGTCTGCGACTGTTTTTTTTATGATATCAAGTGACGGGACGAACAAGTCGTGCACCTGGTAGTAAGCGACACGCCTGTTCATGGCAGTTGCAGTGCCACACAGAGCTTTGAATTCCACTGCTCCTATCACAAACGTTGACAAATCGCAAATGCCGGAAATTTCACCAGCACCCTTATACCCTTCAAAACCGGAACACAGTAATGCTCATATTACGAAGAATAAATAACGACTCTTTCTAGGTGCAAGCATAACTATGCCTGGACGCTGTGGTTGTCGATGTCACAGAGTAGTTTCATTGAAATGAATTTATTCTAGCATGAACCGTGAAACGCCTTTATAACTTTGAAACGGCTTGTCGACTAAAACTGGCTATATGCTACAAGAACTGAGTCACGGTTTTTTACCTTAAATGTAAAATTTCAACTACTAAGTTACGGTGGCGTTGGAATGATGTCGTATGTTATGATGATATTCGACGTATAATGATAGAATACAATTACTGTCTGACTGTGGTAACAGTAAAGTCTAAGGAACATAATTACAGTCTTCACAATCTATTCCCTACATGCCATCAAGTATATAACCAGCAATAAAGACGAAATAAGAGCCATCCATCCCTGGGGCAACTCATCAGGCAAACGGGCCTTGTATCACTTTTAAATATCAACTCTCGTTTGCGCTGAAATCACAAATTAGAAAACTGAAATAGTACAGCGCCAACAACTGAACTGGGTATACATCTCCGTATATTCCAAAAATATTCTTTATTTATTGTCATAAACAAAATATCTCTAACAATGGGGGCTGTTCCATTCGGTGGTGTGGGAAAAACAGCAAATACATCTAATTACAAAACAAACGGAATCACATTTTATAGGTTATTAAATATGTAATTTTTCAATTTTCGTCCATTATAGCAAAGCTCAAGTTATACTGGAAGATTTGAAGTGAAACAATTGACCACCCGTCAATTGTTTCGAATTCGGGCTGGCCAATCGGAGCGCAACATTCACCGTAATGAATTGGCAGAATAGTTTTCAAACAAATTAAATGACACTTCGTCGTTATTTGTGGTTATATACTCTAAGCTACGGGCGCTCATTCTTTAAAGTATAAGTTAATCATCAAATAGAAATAAATGTTAATTCATTAATTTAATATCGTTAATATCTATTCACATGACTTGTAGTCAAAAAAATCCTTTAAACTGTAAAAACATTTTTTAATTAGCCACGTCTTCAAAGTTTTGTCAAAAGTTGTAGTACCTAACATTTTTTAATAATGTGGTAAGCATTTCCTGAATTTCTTTAAGACTTGTTTCTTTTAGGGCTGTATGGAGATCGATCACGCTCGCAGCTTGCTCGAGATAAAATGCACTGGCCGTGAGTCCAGCTCGAAACGCCACGCCTCCTCCACGTCCTCTCTATCCGGCGGCGAACGGTCTTACTCTACAGTGGCTTTTTTCATGGCTCTGTGGGACTGCGTCGAGTTGCCCTTTTACTTCCTTGATGAATTTGACGTGTTTATGGTAAGTACGGTATCAAGAGTGTGTGAAGCTTGACACTTAAGAAATCAAATCAACTCTATGTCGCTTACACTTAAGAACAGTCCCAAGTCACAGTATAACTTATAATATGATAAGTAGTTCAACTTCCGCCTGTTGGGCGCGTCAATACCTACACATTAGTTTAGTGGTACCATGGACCAATCTCCATACTATAGTCTATCTTTTTTGAAGGAGTAATGACATTTGTATGGTTGCCAATTTTCACAAAATTTTCAATACTTTATGTAGTTGTTGTCGGTATATAGTTTTATTGTGAAAGAAGATAAAATATTGCCAAAAATGACTGAATTGTGAATTTTATAATGTTTTAATGATTAATTATTGCGTTATTACCTTTGTCCTGTATCTTGCTTTGTAGAGACATATTTAAGGTTTTTTTGAAATTATGAAACACAGTTAGGTTACAATGAACGTTAAACGATAGGCGACTTTTTATTTTGACGATCTGCTAAAGTGTTGAAAACTTCAACGAAATTTAAGCGCAGGTCACACCGTGGACGAAGCTAACTTAGCTTAGATCACGTAGTTGTATGCAAAGGTAAGCTATGAAAATACGTAGTAAGTAGTGACATGCTCCACTATGGATACGTGCGCGAGTGAAGGGCGGCAGAAGGGCGAAATACAGGCTGTCTATTTGAAAGTGAGACATATTCGTACATACAACATAACATAGACTAAAATAAAATTAGGATATGGGATAGAACAAAAAATAAATCAACAAATGTGTTTTGGAGTGTACATAGGAATAAACCGATTCCTTTTACGCTTGATTTCGAGTGCAATGGGAATACTACCAAGCGAGCGCCGAGTGAGCAAGCAACAATAACAATGATTTCACATCTCCCTTCCTATTTTTTCGCGGGCTTAGACCCGACAAAGTACCTCATTTCTCTACAAAATAAAAACTAAGTTACTCACCGACTCATTTATGTTATGATGGAAAAAGCTGTTATCAAAATGATTACGTTTTAGCTTATGTTAATTATTTTTTACTTGAACTATCATCGAAATGTTTACGTACTGAAAAAGATAAGATTATGATTTAGCAACTACACTCGCGAGCAACCAAATCGACTCAAGCGCTACCTCTACATTCAAACATTGTTCTATATAAAAGTATACAACATTTCAATAAAAATAATATGCCATTTGAAAGCTTGAAACTTCAGCTTTTAGGAAATGTCGTCATTATTAATATCCATGTATACTTTTTTTTATTACCGGTGTCTGAACTTAAATGGGAGAAAAATGGGATTTTGGGTAAAGGGGAGAAAAATGGGGTTTTGGGTAAAGGAGTTTGACACAAATAAAACACGTTTTTTTCTTAAGAAGTATAAAATTTATTAATTCAATATTTATTATTGCCTCCCCTAGCCCTAATTACAGCACGTAATCGATTCTTCATCGATCTTATTAGTTTTTTGACGTTGTCTTGAGGAATACCTTCCCACTCCTCTAATAAAGCTGCCTTCAGTTCTTCCAGGCTCGAAGGATCTGGATTTCTTGCTCGTACCCTTCGTTTGAGCTCGTCCCATAAATGCTCGATGGGATTTAGGTCTGAACTTAGCGCAGGCCAGTCCATTGTGCGCAAATCGACTTCTTGAAGGAACTCCTGAGTAACGCGCGCTGTGTGGCATCGAGCATTGTCGTGCATTAGGATGAAGTCTTCGCCAACAAATCCTGCGTAGGGCACAACATGTTCCAGGAGAATATTTGTGATGTACCCATCAGCTCCCAGTCCCGCTCCTCGGCCTCCTCCAGGCACGAAAACGAGCTCGGTTTTACCCTCCAACGAGATACCAGCCCACATCATGCAAGAACCGCCACCATAGGCAACGGTTTCTGCGAAACAGCATTGGGCAAATCGCTCTCCCGGACGCCTGTAGACCCGGCCTCTCCTGTCACTGCCATGCAGACACATCCTGCACTCGTCAGTGAATAGGACCGACCGCCATTGCCCAAAGCTCCAGTTAAGATGCTCTCGAGCAAACTGTAGCCGAGCTTGCCGGTGGCCTGCAGTCAATTTGGGGCCTGTTGCAGGCCTTTTTGGAGACAGATTGGCTTCCTTCAGACGTCTTCTTACTATCCACTCACTGACAGCTACGCCTCGAACACGTCTCAGCTCGCCCTGCACGTCGACACCCGTAAGGTGCCGATTTCGCAGGGTGGTTGAGACAATGAAACGGTCGTCTCCTTCAGAAGTACAACGGTGGCGGCTGGTTGTTGGTCTCCGAGTGAATGCTCCGGTCTCTTGATACCGTCGGTATACTCGGGATACAGCAGATTGACTCAAGTGAAACTGGGAAGCCACTACTCGCTGACTGAGTCCTTGTTGCAATAAGGCAACAACTTGAGCGGCTTCTTGAGGTGTGGTATCCATGGTTTCTTGAAAACAATGAATGCAGGTTGCGGAGATGTGTATCGGTCAACTGTTGATAAGCGACTGATAAGGATTCAAGGGTCACGGGGGTTTTTATAGGGGTAGAGGGTACCGCAACTAGCAGGTAGCGTAGGTAGTAATTAGTCCCATTCTCCCTAATTGCGCAAATGAACATGTTGGTACTTGTTTTATTTATTGATATTGATGTTTTTTTAAAGCTTAGGTTTCAAGCTTTCAAATGGCATATTATTTTTATTGAAATGTTGTATACTTTTATATAGAACAATGTTTGAATGTAGAGGTAGCGCTTGAGTCGATTTGGTTGCTCGCGAGTGTAGTTAACATTTAATAAGAATTGAGGTTTTTGTCGCAGTTAAAAATGTAAAATCAAATTATTTACAATGATTGGTTTTTTAGTTATTTACAGTTTATTTACACTTACGTGGTACTAGCAAGTGTTCAAAATGTCCACCGTTTTCCACAATGCGTAGTCTAGCACGGCATAGTAAATTTTGTTTTAATTTGTTCAATACAAACACATTTAGCCTCGCAATATAAAATGCTGAGATAATCCTCACACGCAACACTTCGACATTGTTCACCTCACTGCGTAAACTCCGATTTGGGAACATTTCAGTAGCTTGCCTCACATCATTACCACTTATTGCGTAAAGTCGCACTATCTCAGTCAATTCGACGTTAGAATAAATATCCATTTTGCGGCGATCGCGCAGTGACCGTCCGAGCGGAAGTACAAATAATTTACATGTCTTCGTTAGACCAAGGTCGCGCGTGCACTGTGTCTGCAAACAAACAGCAATTTCGCGTATGCGCCCGCGCCCTCACCCCCGACCTATGCTTTGTTTTTCGCCGCCGTGCGAGGGAACAAAGCCGTGCCGCCGCGCCGCCCGCCGCTGCGTCGGAGCAATAATAATGATGTGCATAGATCTCGACAACTAATGTTATTCACAAGTAGTAGTCGATAAAAAAAAGTTTCCCTTTTTATGAAGTTTAAGTTCATTAGTTTATTATTTCTTTGGGTTCAGAATCAGAAAAATAACGCACTCTATAAGTATGTCTCTTTTTCAAATATACAGCCTGTATTTTAAATAGCTTAGCGGGATCATTGGGTTAATTTTGTTAGCTCGGTTAACTTAGAGTGGTTACACAGGGCGTCTTAGCAGCATTTGCAGCAATTCCATCGCTCCATTTGCGATTTATAGCTGCCGTCCGCTAACTAAAAAAATTTTTTAGATATCATAAAAACCATAACCCCTTTTTCAGAACATTGAAATTGTTTAATGATATCTCTAGCTACACATCGTTAGGGTAAGGTCCAATAAGTCGAACACATTAACTAATTTGAATTGTTTTTAAAAGAGAGTTTTGTGCTCTTTCTTATGCTTTGTCATTTGTCATTTAGCCGCGTTTTAGGTAGTGGACGTTAGATAGGCGATTGCATTATACAAACACGCGATTGCATCGATGCAATCGCTATAAAACCCAAGTGTAGCGATGCAATCGCGCGTGTGTGTATAAAGGTAGACGATTAGCGATTGCATCACTACTGCAACGCTGCTGACAGTCGCCGTGTGTAACCGATCTTAGTTCGCGGTGTGAACGTTACGAAAGTTATAGTCTGTTCCAATCAACAAAAAATAAACAAAATTGTTTGGTTAAAATTCTAAAGCAATCACTCCATACATCTAATAAGTAACACTTTCAGGTATATTTCGAAGATTTGGACTTGTTATTTCATCACTTTTTCCTACAATATTTATTTGAATAGCATCGTAAAATTGTATTTGAAAAATGGTAGTCCAAAAGTAAGGTTATTTTTCATCTATGACTTGTCTATGGTTACATAGTGCTGTACGAAAAAAACATTAGGTTCATTCAATTAAAGTTTTTGTAATCGATTAGTAAATCGAATATTTCAATCGCAATCGAACGAGTATCTAAGTTTAAGGA